CTTCCTGTCCAAGCTGGCCTTGGGCACTGCCAGGGATGGGGCAGCCACAGCTGCTCTGGGCAGCTTGTGCCAGATCTCAGCACCCGCAGAGGGAGGAATTTCTTCTGTCTGTGTGATTTAAAGCTACCTGATCTGGCTTGAAGCCATTCCCCCTTGTCCTGTTGCTACACGTCCTTGGCAAATGCCCCTCTCCATTTTTCTTGTAGGCTGCCCCGGGCTACTGCAAGAGGCTCTAAGGTGTCCCCAGAGCCTTCTCCTGACTCGGCTGAACAACCCATCTCTCTCAGCCTGTCTCCACAGGAGAGGTGCTCCATTTCTCCAGATGCATTCCTGCTCACACCTCTCTTTACAGCTCAGTGGCTTACAAGACTCACAGTCTTTCAATTAGTTTAGCACATCTGTTCTGCTCCTGTAAACCCTGAGTGCAGTGGCTGTGCTTGAGCACTTTACTCCAAATGCTCCTGGTGTACCTTCCTCCAAATCTTCCCCCGTGTGGTGCACAGGAGTGATTTACAGCCCCTGCAGATAACCCCCAGTCACCTTTAACCTGGCTGCTCCCAGAGCAAACTGGTGGCAGCCCTGCAGGTGAGCCCAAGCAGTGCTGGCTGTGTCTGCAGCCTGTGCTGTGTTTGTGGTGGCTCCTGAGCTCTGCCCCAGTGCCCTGCATGCCCTGCCAGGCTGTGCTGGGGTGCAGCTCCAGAGGCTGAGGGCACGGCCAGTGCTCACTGGGCTCTGGCAGATGGGGAAGAAAACAATGAGGACTAAAACTTTGCTGCAGAATAACAATGAATTGTGGCACAATAGGTGTTCCCTGTCAGACCTTTTGCCTTGATTCTCAAGAGTGACACTAAAGGTCAATAAAACAGGTCTAGGAGTATTTTGTACTCTTTGAATATACCATCTTTACAGTAATTATAAATGTGTGCATTGTCTATTGCAATTAATGGCACAGGAGCCTGGGGTACCAGTATTGGAGCTGAGAATAAGTTATCTTTTACCTCTATCTGTGTGATGAAGATTTCTGAGACACCTCAGAAGCACTGCACAGGAGTAAACTGTACTCTTGTTTGCCTGCTTGGGTGCTGCTGTGAATTCTCTCACTGTCTCCTCTTACCTGGCACTGTTCTGATTCCTGGCAAGGGAGAACTGTTTCCATGCAAGGTGTGGCTCAGCTCCCACACTGGTGGGCATTCATGCCTCGTCTCACTCATGACCCACGAGCTACATGAGGGGTCCTTTGCTGCAAAGCCAAATATCCTGCAGGTGCTGTAGAGTATAGCACCTGCTGCTCTCTCCTTTTGTTGTAACAAACTTGATTTCCAAAGCCAAGTTATCTTCTATGACCCGATCTTTGCTGATTTTACTAGACTCCATATTTTCCCATTTACTTTCCTTTTATTTCCCCCCTTCACTGCTACTTTAATTTCCAAGTTTTTCTCTTCAATCTCTGTTCTACCCACTACTTCTCTCTCAAGTATCCACTCTGCAAAAAGTCTGAGTCCATATCCCATCCACAGGCCTAGAGAAGCAGCCATTCTGAAAGCATTATGTGTGCAGACCAGTTTCTGCAAACTCTGCCAATCCTACTTACAGTAAGATAACAAAAAAATGGGACTTTAAATCCCTACAGCCTTGTGTGGAGATACTTTGGTGGATCTGCAAGCATGGCCTATATGCTTTGCAAATGTTGAGACTCTTACCCCAGTGTAGTGGTTTTGGTTTGTAAATTTTAGATTTTTTATTTTTGAGATTTCTTAACTAATGTGTTGATGAGTGTGGTTAATTACTAAGGTACTTACTTCTTGCTGTGAGATAGGATTAAGAGAAAGGTAAAGCAGATTTAAAACTTTAAAAGGGTATAAAGAAAATTTTATTAAAAGTTAGTAAAGAAAACAAGTACTAAGAATCAAAACAAACTTTTTAGAATACTTCTCCCCTCACAACTTTTTCTTTTTTACTGACAATGTAAAGAAACAAGACTTAAGATTTCTAGTTAGTTTGCTACCTTTAAAATAGTTTTTTAGTTTACTTAGGGAGAGAAGTATCTCTTTCTAAAGTTATGGAGACTTCTCCACAAGAGGAAAAAACAGTTCTCTTATGGCTCTTAATTTTGCCACACCTGGAGAACCCTGCCATTGTGAAGTCTTTCCTATTTTTACAAGTCTTTTTACAGGTTGTTGATGGGCTATGTTGACTTATGGGGTATTGTTTTAAAGAAGCACTGTTTAAAAGTTCTTATTACCTATTTCTAAAATCATCTTTATCCCTGGGAACAGAGATCTTCTTTTCTTGGAAGTACAGGACTACTTTTTTCTTTTTCTCTGTTTGTACTTCTCATGGGATTACAGTTACTTTAACATCTGCTTATCTTAGCATGGAGGTTTTTGCTTGATATTAACTTGGAACAATTTCATCTCCCTATAGTTTCATGTTATGGAAAAAAAAAGCTTTTTCTCTACAGCTTACAAGAAAATTTCAGCCTTAAGATCAAAGCATCTTCTCCTTTCTCTAATCTGAGACTTAACTTTTTCTTCACTGACTTCAATGTCTTTATGTTGTTCTTTTATATGTTTGTATCTTGTTCCTTTCTTTCACTTGAGAGAAGATTAAACCACTAAAAGAATTAACATTACACTTAAAACTTACTAATAGTCACCTAACCCACCAGTAACTTGCAGTAGAAGCTGCAGCTGGGCTGTGTCAAGATTAGCTTCATAGTTAGTCTTTAGTTTTCTCTGTGTTCCATTCCAGCTGCACTCTACACAAGCTGCAAAGATCTCTAGTCTCAGGCACGCTAAAGAGAGAGGACTTAACAGCAAAATCCTGACAGCTGTGGCCAGTCCTGCTCCAGCTAGGGCTCCCAGCCTCTCCTCCCACCTTCCTACCTAATACTACTAAAATCCAACCCAACCAAAGCCGGGCCAATAAAAAAGAAACCAACAAACAGCCCCAAAAAAAGAAAAAGAACCCAGCCCACAACAGAACCAACTAGCCCGGCCCAGCCAAGACAAAGGCTGGGGCTGAGGCTGCCACCTCCTCACCAATTAGGAAAAACAAAATATTCTTGGGATTTTTTATCTTTTATTTTTGTGTGCTTCACAAAAACATGTCCAGCTTCTCAGCAATTTAAAAAACTGTCAGTTACGCAAAAAGTTTTATATTACTTCTCTAAATTTTCTTCCCATTCTAAACCACAACACTCAGTGACAGACTTGTGTCACAAAAGGACAGTGCTACATACCTGGGGAGTACGATTCTTGAATCCTGTCTGGTATTAAATTTAAGAGATTTTGCAGCTTGCCCTCAATCAGTGGATAATGCATAAGTCAAGGGTCAATGAAAAAAATCCTGCCACAAGGTGACCTTTGCCTCTTTGTACTGTAATAAACTGCTACCAGTCCGGGTTTCAATAGCTGAAAAAAACAGACAAATATCACAGCCCCTGCTGAGAATTCAATGAAACTACAGAATATAAAACTTAGAGCTAGAGCCTCTGAAGCTTGGACAGCTTTAGCACATGCTAAAGAAATAGTGTGAATCTCACCTCAGGAGACAAGAGCATCACAGTACTTCTCTCTACACAGAAATGAGTAAGATCATCTGACATTTTCCACTGTGATTTATTTCTAGTGCTGGCCTGTGTTAGGAAGTCAATTCAACTGCACTTCTCTGCATAGAGAAGATGAGCATGTATTCTGTGCACACCCAAACAACACTGCCTATTCAAGGGTTTGTGCAAGGAAGGTTTAGCATGACTATTTTGAAATTATATTCCCCTCACACAACAAGGAGGTAAACCAAAGAAGCAAGGACAGATACTTAGGAGAAAGTTCTGCTTACCAAAACAGTCTCACCCAGCTCCTGAATTCAGCCTGGCACCCTACTCCTTCCAGTTAAGTAATTTGGAAAGAGGGGACGGGTAGCTAATTGCTGTAGGACATTACTAGCCATGAAGAATTTCAAATTCTTCCAGAGATATAGAGGGGAGCTGAAGGGAGGGGGAACTGATGTTCATTGCCCTGTAGGATCTGTGGAGCTGCAGCACTGCTGCGAGGCACCAGTGTGACCAGGAATGGCTGGGATAGCTGGAGCAGCCTGAGAGCCAGGTACAGGAGACAAAGACATGGCAGAGAACTGATTGACAACTCTGCCATGAAGAGTCCAAGCCTTGTTCTTGGCAGCCCAAGCACCAAGGTGAGGGCCCTGGAGCGGCCCTGGGACACACCCAGTGCTGGCAATGAGCTGTGAGCCAGTGCAAACAGGAACAGTGGCACTGACTGGTGGCACAGGGGACAGCCTGGAGCACAGAGAGAAGCACTGGGGAAAAGACAGAAATATGAATCCTTGTAGGGGATCTACAACTAAATACAAAAGCAGAGAATTGTGGGTACTGGAAAATTTTTCTCCCTTTTCTAACATTTGGGAGGAGTCTTAATTCCAGTACTATTACAGATTAAGTACCATCCTGTCTCAGTTGTAAAACCAACTGACAAAGCAGAACATTCTGTAGTTTCACCTTCTTTCCACAGAGGACATTTCTGTTTACACCACACCAAAGTTTCTGTACCTCCAATAAACTTGGCATCAAGAGAGTCTTACTCACAAATTGGGTCTTCATTGATTTCACTTTATTAAAACAACGTTGCTGCTACATTCTCTCTTCAGTCATGGGGGAGTGTCAGAAGAACCTGAGTATTGTGGAAATTTGGTAGCTGTATTTGACAAGTCAGGATTAACTGGAATTATTACAGTGAATAATTTCAGGTATGACAGCAATGAAGAAAAGGTGAGGAAAATGCAATTTTATCCTCAAATATACTTCATTTAATTTTTAAAATATCCTAATAGCTTGCATATTGTGTGCATGTTTAGACTGTAAACTATAACTCTAATTTAAGCTTCTTGTTTTGTGTGCTTTTGTTATTTGCCTTTTCAAGGATTACTTTTTTCCAGAATTCTACCTTCTTTTCTTTCAACTTTCTGTCTTTCTTCTGTTGTAGACTTATCTGCAAGTATTCTTCATTTAGGTTGTAAGATGGCCATTCAACCAGACCCTCTCCATTAGGATTTCTGTAAGCAAGAGGAAAGAAGAGTGAGTGCCCTTTTCAGTCACAGGGGAATTCAATCACACAAGTTAAGACTGAATCAATAAACCAGTCAATTCCCCTGGAGTCAGTGAAAAGCAGCAATATCTGTCATGAATTTCATGATTCGTACCCATTTCGAGCAAAGTTAGCCCAGTACTTCATTAGAGTTCTGCTGAGGGTCTTCTCTTCCTCTGTAACTTCACCTGAAAGACAAAATACAGAATAGTTACTCTGTGTGGCAGAAATCAAGACATTGCTGCTACAGCAGCAGCATTTCCCTGTGTGAATATGCTGTAACAGTTTGGCAATTGCAACAGAAACACCCCACTGGCCAACATCACTACTACAGCAAGCATCAGAGGATTTCAGCACTCCTCAAAAACCACTTGCATCACTACCCTACTGTAGAAATCAGGGAATTTGGGAACAAGGAAATAAGGTGATGTGCCTGTAACCTTCCAGGAAATCAGAGCAGAACAAAAACCCCCCATGTGTTCTGCATCCCAGTACAACTCCAGGAATGGGCCACAGGGCTGTGTTTCTTGGATCCCATTCTAGTTTTGTGGGACTGAAATTCTCCCTAATATTCAGAGCATGACTAGGCAAAGATTTCTTCATTCTCACACAAGATGGTGCACTCCATTTCTCAGCACTTCAAGAGTATTTCTTTAAATACAGTTACACATAAGCTCACTGTATCACTAGGTGAGAATTATTTCAGTTCCTGTGTGTTTTTAATTATAAATGCATCTCAATATACTAAGAAAAATGTTTGGTATCTTAAAGCCCTTGATAAATTCAGGAAAAGAGGAAAAGAGCTGTTCAGTGTTTCTTAGTGCCAAAGGTATGTAAGTAAAAAAAAAAAAAAAGGCAAAAGAAAAAGGCTCTGGTAACAGATTAACAAAGGGCTTTGCAACATAGCTGGATAGCTCCAAAGAAGCAAAAGGAAATACTTTCACTTATGTAGGCCTTGACCAGACCTACTGTGCAAATCACAAAAATAAAAGCAGAAAAAAACCCCAGTGAATTCATTTAAGCAGAATTTTTGTGTCTCTGTCAAAATAAGAACCGTTCCTAATCTGTCCCACAGGAAAGAAAATGCTTCATGCTGAGTATTACTGTCTTAGGCACATGTAAGCAAAAGATATTGTTGGATTAATAATGTTCCTTAGGAAGTGGCATCATGTTTCTTAACTGTTCAGTGATTGGCAGATTCATTGGGCATATAACAATGTGGGATTCTGCCAGAAGGGATTTCTAGAATCCCATGGAAATTTTGGGAATACACCCTTAATCCTCCCTCAGTGGACTGGTTCCATTTGAATAAATGCTCAAGTATTAATTGAACTGTGAGACAAAACAGACATAACCATGAGATCTTCACACAGAAGATGAAACCCTGGAATTCCAAGCCTTGCTCTGAACACAGCTGGAATAACTTGCTGCAAAAGAAGCCAAGTCCCCCATTCTCTGAAGCCTGACAGCCCGTGGGATTTCCTGAAAGGAGGAGACACTGGCCTAAACTCCTCAGGCATAGTAGAGATCCTGGATTTCCTCTTCCCAAGCACTCTGGAAGTTTAATTGACTTTTCCTTCAATTTAATTTTCAGCCAAAGCCATTTGGCAAATTCATGCACAGTGCTGGGATAATGACAGTGAATTTTCTAGCAAATATCCTATTTGCTGAATTGCTGACAAGATGTGGTACTGACTGTGCTTCAGACCAAGCAAACTGTAAAGAAGATGGTTAAATGCATAAAACCAATTCTGCCAGGAGAAAGGGTTATGGTTTGATCTCAATGCCAATATATGCACCTTAATCTGAAGAAAATTAATTAAACAGTGAATAGAAAAATGCCAGGGTTACAGGACTCATTCATGAGTGAATGGTGTCTGTTCCTTACTGCGGAGCTGGATGTCCCCAGCCAGAAACGGCCCCCCAAAGACAAAACCAACTTCATCCCCGTGGTCAGCCTTCACATAGTCGGGTTTGCTATCCCGGAATGCACTGGCCCGGTGCTGGAACTCAAAGAAGTATGTAGGAGCTCCAGACTCTGCAAGACATAACATACAGGGAGTTACAGAAGAGATAAATAAACAGCAGCTGTCATCAGCTGTTCAAAATACTACTTTAAAAAATAAGCTTTTTACTGGGCACGTTTCTAGTGTAATTGTTACATTCAAATATGTACTTTTACTTTTAATGCAAAATTAAAAACTTGGCACTTGCACAAAAAAAATGGGAAGATCCACCCTAAGATAATGTACAGAAAACAAAATATCAAATTATTTCCACTTTTGAGTATCATGGCATGGCTTGCCTACACCTACACACCAGAAAATTTACAGACCACAGAGCTGGGGATTTCCCAAGTAAACATGGGCCAAAGGACGAAGGTTGCTTTGATATGTTTTAATTTTTAAGCCTGTATATTTCAGTTAGTAAATATTTACCTGTGTTATCATCTCTGCTCTCAATATATTGTGATTATGAGCACCCTTACACAGAAATAAGGGCTGCACACAACCCTGCAGACCTGTATCATTCCTCATGTTCCCAGTGGGAGTCTCAAGAAGGGCTGCCTACATATGACAGGATTTGTGTCTGCATCATTTGATCCAGCCTGAAGTAGGAGGTCTGAGTGTCCCACTGCTGTTGATCAGCTTACCCCTGTGATAATTCAGTGCTTTAATGGCTGGCATGACAATTGCCATGTCCCCCAGCAGGTCCACGAATCCATCTCGTAGCTCTGCAGGGTCCTCTGTGTCTCCCAGATATTCATCTAAGATCATGGGCAGAAAATCTGAGGGTACATCCTAAGAGAAAAGAAGCAAACAGACAATCACTGTTTGAATTAGTAGCTAAAATTGCCATCTTAAACTTCAGAGATTCTGCAAAGGCACAATTGTCCAGGACAGCAGCCATGTTGATGGGAAACAAAATCTATTCATGCTTTTTGTAGGCAAAAAATATCAAACAAACCAACCACTTCAGGTGAAATTTGCCCCAGATTTATTTGGGTTAAAACTCTACAGCAATAAGTGTAGATCCAGCAATTTCTCCTGACAATATCTTCAGCTTCTGTGAGAAGAGAGATGAGAATCACAAAAATAAATTCTCAGTTCTTGAAAGATTTATGGACCATTAGACAAGAGGACAAAACCAATGGGATCTCCAAACACAGTGTAAATTTTCAGGGTTAGAATTTGCTGGTTGAAAGATGAACCTCAAAACTAGGAGTGCAAAATAACTACGTTAAAAGCTACATTTAATGTAAACATACTGAAAAATATACCTTGAAACTCTCTAAGCAGATTAGCCATGAGATACCTTAACATGAGGGAAGCTATTGCAGTAATCCCACAAATATGTAATATAAAAGTATTGTTTGAGGTCTAGAATGAAAAAGATATTTTCCCAAATCCCAGGCCTGACTCAATTCTATTTCTGTGTAATCCATACACCCTGGTCCTGTCAATTTTGCTGGGATTATCCCCAAGCCTAGCATGACCTCAGTACAATATGACTCGAGCAGTGAGACCCAAATCTGTTGCATACATGAAAAAAGAAAATTCACTTCTCAAATTAGATTAGTGCAGCAGTACTTACAATCATTGGTAGAAAAACCTCTACAGTTGAGGCAATTGATTTTCTATCTCCTATTTCCCTCAAACTTGTCATTTTTGATGTCTGTACAGAGGAAAAAAAAACCCCAATGTTATTAGCATTAGTTATTAGCATACCTTTCAGTGTCTCCATGATTTTAAACATTGAAACTACATTACTCCATTAATTCTTACTACTGGTGTTTATTTTTAAAGCATCATATCATATGCAAAAGTGCAGCACAATGCAGCAGCTGTCTTGAAAAGCATGTATTTATTGCAGTAAATGTTGTCTTGGTGAAGGTTACTACAAAAAACACTCCTAATACATAGTTTATCCTTAAATCAACATTAAGAAACTTGTAAGACTAGAAAACATGAGAGCAGAGTTGAAGCAAAAAGCTGCTTCTGTCTCACAGGATTATTTTCATTCTGTTGGGGGAGATCTTAAATCACTGGCAGTCTGTCTCTAGTCCAATTGTCTGAGACCTTTGAAATAAGGATACAGCAATGTTCTTCCTCTTTTTAATGCTCTTTTACAGCATGACATAAATTTTTTCTGTCTGCAAAATAAATTCAAACAGATTGTTCTTCTGGGACTTACAACCAGAGACAGTTGCTTCATAGATTCAGAACAAATGCTTGGTACTACACAAAGGAACCTGAATATTTCAGAAATAAAAGAAAGGGACAATAAAGGAGAGGACACAAATCCACCTCCTGCAGTTTTTGTGCTCTGAGAGCATTTGCTCATATTTTAGAGTTACCCATTGAGTTCTTATGAGAAAGGAGAATGGGCTGGATACCTGCATTGTCCCCTCACTCTGCCCCAGATGAATTTTCAAATGAAAGCTCTTGCTGCAGGGTGGTAATGATACCAAGGGGAAGCTGGTCTGGGTGATCAGTGGCACATTTTTAAGCACACTGTGTATCAACCCTGACTACTGAGCCTTGTGGGGAAAGGATTAGTTTTATTTGCCTTTCAGTAATAAGTCCTTTATTGTTGCATTCTTTTTCCTCTCTCTGCCTGGATGAGGGATTGAAATTGTAGGATAAGAAAACATAGTACAAAATTGATGTTCCAACTGATGTGTCCATGCAGTTTAAGCTGCAGGATGAAGCCTCTCTCACCCTCTTGTGATCCAGTGGTTCTGAGTCACTGCAGAGCCATGATGCAAGCAATATTTACCTTGTATGTATTTCCAACAATGCAAAGACTTGTCCTATCACTTAACACAAACATTAGAAACACATTAAAAATAAAGAATAAAATCACCGATCTAATATTCCAGCCAAATTCATTGTTGGTGACTCCTATCATGAACGGGACTGCATTGAATTCTTTTCCAGCCAGTATCTCTTCAGGTGGCTTATGAAGAAACACTCCATCCAAAACTAAGGGTAGAAATGAGATTTCCTGAAGGAAGAGAAAAAAAAAAAAAAAGATCAAATCAGTAGTTAATAGTAATTCCAATTTTTCCTTAAAATCATGCCAGATGTCCACATTAAATGTCCTCATTGCAAAAAAGGGCTTTAAGAAATTCAGGTATCTACAGCCACTGTAGATACAGCCACATAAATTTAGTTTGGCACAGGAGTATCAGATGCAGGCCTGGCTGGGTCAAGATGTAGAGGAATGTAATGGATTCCTCATCCTGTGTTGTTCTGACATTAAAACACAG